TAACCACCAGCAAAAGTAGGTGGTTAGACTGCAGCAACAACTGCCAGATTTCCCTAAAGGACCAGTGTTTGGCAGGGAAACAAATACCACTTACGTCGATAGAAGCTTTCATCCATGTCTTGAATCTTTTTAAAGTATCTGAATGTAAGCCCAGTAAAGGAATATATTTATAAAGTAGATGAGTTTACTGTTTTCTATTTGCTATCCTAAAGCAAAAACATTGTCTAATTTGTTACTATTTGTTATAAAAAGTAGCATATAAAATTAAGATTGAAAATTCCCACTGTTGAATCTGTGGGATCTGAAAAAAAAAAACAACCAAAAGTAAGGGACACAACATAATAGTTCACAGAGGAGAAACCTCAGTAGGCAAACTAGGAAGCTCTAAACGTGTGCTCTCGCAAAGTCCTGTGTCAGTAAGTGCTGCTCCATGTTTATAAACTAATGTCTGCTACCAGTACATACTCAAAAGACTGATGAACAAACCTGATATTTTAATATTTTAGTGAAAAATTGAATACTGTATGTGAATAAAAAGACTCAATAGAAGGAAACATACAAAAGAGTTTCTTAAAGCTTAGTCTTCTTTCCCCAGTGCATACTTCCTGTATGCCAATGTCACTGAGAAAGAATTCCTAATCACCAGCTGAATGAATCTGTTCTTTATTGTATGAAAAAGAGAGGATGGCAGCAAATTACTTTAGATAGTCTTACCACCTACAGAGTTTTCTAGGTTTTTTGAAGCTTTCAGGGCTACTACTTCCCTACAAAAGGATACGCTACAACAGCACAGTTGGGAATGCGGTTGTTTAGGAATTCTGCTGCAACTTCTGCTTTTGGTCGCCCAACATCCTTCGGACTGGGAAGAAACCAAGCAATTTCAAACACATTTTTTAGTAGATTCAATCTTTCCAGACTCTATGCACTGCAATACTGAATTAAATGACTAATTGTTACTGGAGGACAATTTATAGATATGGATAGTATCACATAGAATAGAACAGTTTGGGTTGGAAGGGACTTTCAAGAGACATCTAGTCCAACCCCCTGCAATAAGCAGGGACATCTTCAACTAAATCAAGCTGTCCTAATCAAGGCATCCCTGTAAAGCATCAGATATAAGAACCTGTTATTTAAATATGTCTATGTACCTATAGTTATCAGAACCAAAACCATACAATTTGTCACTTAGCTTGGAAGAAAAGGGCACCAGAAAGATTGGTATGTCAATCTCTGTGCATTATTCTTTGGTGTCACTTTTTCATTAGTCATTAGCTGTATCTGAATAGTAAGGAACCTATGTTAATTTTCTTCACATCACAGATCCCTGAACAAGAAGGAATCATACATGACATTTAGTTAATTATGAATATTATTGTGATATGAAAGTTCAGTAACATTTAATGACATCTTGTTCAACCAAAATAATGATCATATTCACATATTTTAAGTACATTTAAAAAAACAAAAGTTGAATAGTGAAAATACCACTTACCGAAATAGAAACTGTCGATTCAGATTAGAAACATCTATAGTATCCATGTCAATTACATGGATGTGTCTGAAGCCAGACAGTGCCTGTGAAAAGAGAGTGTAAACTTCATTTAACGGGAAATGAAATGCTTACAGTGCTCCAGAATTCATTCCACGTGCCAAAGAAACAACCTTTGGAGGTACAAACCTATTCGCTCTTCATTCCCTGTGCAGACAGGTATATTGTTGCTCTTTGTTAAAAGAATATCCTTTGTTGGGTTTGTAATGCCGATGTTTACACACATGGAATTAGCCACGTTTCAATGATCAAAGACAATGTTCTATTGAACAAAATATTGCTTTATGCTAGTCATAATACAGGGAAGTCAACAGTAGGCTGATCCATAAGAGGAATTTGCAGTATTCCCTCACAACTGGAGTAAATCAAAAGCCCTTATTATGGGGAAAAAAAAGTGTAGAATTTGAAGAAATACCATTGTTTGGCAGGAACAGAAAACCAAAGTTTAATTCCTCTAAAATGTTAAAGTTTTGAACATTCACTATTTTCACAGTTGGCATAAATGAGTCTGGCATATCCACCTTCAAATCACAGTTCAAAATAAGCCAATGCAAACACATAAAGCTCCCTCCCTATCAAAAGATGCGCTGAACCTCTGGCAGAGGTTCTGCCTGATCTCCGTTTGTATGCAGTCCATCACCAGACTGGGCAAATAACTTTGAAGTAAAACTGTCTTAAAACTGGATTGCAGGTCTGATCTGATAAAATAATGTCTGACAGACACAAAGAAACTATGTGAATTGTAGCTGAAGTGAAATAAATGATATAAAACACTGGGTTTAGAGATAGGAAATGTGCTATGATGTTCTGAAGTGACTTAAAAAAATTCAAGTCCTGTACCTTACGCGTTTTCCTTTAAGACCCAATCTTGTTATATAATAAAGACTTTCAGAACTTTACATTTTACATTTTCTGAATAAACAGAGCTACCCCATGCATAATGCACATTGAAAATGCTGTATTGGGAAACTGATTAAACAGGTGAACAACAGGACTGAAGTACTCCAGAATAGAAACTGATTCTATTAGAAAAGCAACAAGACTCTCTCTCTGTTATACTGGATACCCTTGATGCAGAGCATTCATTCTGTTTCCTTGATAGATGTTCACCTTTTGTTCAATATTATCAAAGCAGACTTGGAGAGCCTGTTAAAAAGAAGAGTGAGCCTGGGGCATCAGAACATACAGTCTTTATAAAGCTTAGATTCATTGTCCCAGAGACATGAATACATGTGAACAGAATCTAGATTTGCTTACTGTTCTGAAAATCATAAAAATAAATCATGATAACTTAAAACTGTACGGATGGGAATTATACACACACAGCAGACTCATGAAGTTCCTTATTATGTACAAATCCTCCATCTCAACAAGCTGTCAACAGATGGAATTTGTTATGTCTCAATGAACACATAAAACAGGAGCTCTGTGCAGAGGTTAAATTCACCAGGACTAAATTCCTAAAGAAAGAAAACTGTCTTGGAGCTGTCATAGTCTCTTCAAGTAAAATCTTGCTCAAGCATTACAGTAGCAAACCAGCAACCAGAATAAGAGCACATGTAAGTGCTGGAACTGTAAAACCCCTAAGTTAATGGATCTGGGATGCCTGGCTTTAAATGAGGCTATTGATTTATCAACGTTCTCAAGCTTGGAGGAAGCCTGTGCAAATACTGAACTAGCAGTACAGAAATTCTATAGTAAAGTGGACTAAGGCACAGCTGTTAGCATAAACTAAGGAATTTATTTTATGATAAGTTATTGTATCAATCCACACATTTTCCATGGAATTCATAAGGACAGAAATTCTTATTATTATATACAACCACAGAAATGTACAGTATTAGTCTAAACTATCAAACTCAAACAGTGTGGTAACAGTAACACATTGATAAATATGAGTGCCTGTGAGGATAAAAACATTTATAAGATAATTAAATTCATACACATTTATTGGGTAAATATCTGATTGCACACGATCCCATAAGTGCATTTTATATGCTTAAAAACTGCTTTTTGAAACACATAGTGAATCCATCATGAACTAACACCATAGTAAGAAAACTACCAAATACCTTCTGGTAATCCATACACCAAGTACTGTAATATTCCTTCTCTCTTCTTACACTATATCTATTCCTCCTTAGACATTTCCAACAGGATATCGCATCTTGGTCTGGCTCAATAAAGTTGGCATTATATAGGCTGAATTCAGACATACATATGTCCCTCTGAGGCATAAGGTTCTGCAGACAACCTCCAATTTACTGATCCTGAGGAACTGGAAAACCTGAGAGCCAGTGCTCAGGAAAGCCAAATGGATTCCAGAGTTGTGAAGGTCACCATAGACACAGTCAGTCTGACTCTACCCATCTCACTATGAAAAAACATAAATAATTCCAGCAATTGGAACCTCACGTTGAATCCAAAGATGAAAAATAAACTGGAATTAAGTTCAACTATGACTGTTAATACTAAACGTTGTGCTGGCTACTTATGGCAATTGAAAGCATCACTTTTCATCTGAAAAGAAACATTTTAGTTAGTACCAGGCTACTTCGAAGAAAAATAACTGTTACTGCTGAAACCAGGACACCATTGTATCCCAAATACCACCTCGTTGTATCATTACAAGCTGATTTGTTCTTAGTTTCTCATCTTCCTAGATCCAGTAATTAGGGAAAATTGCCAACACTGGACCATATCTAAGGCTGCAAGTGAACTTTGTCTACACTTCATGAAGATCACCGTGTTGTCCTCCATGACAAGGTTTAAGATAGCCAAGTAACATTTAGCATATTAGACTACCACCTTCTAAGCTTTCTGTCAAGATGCATTCTTCAAGTTTATTGTCTGTGTCATCACGTATTTTATGTATTTTGATTAGAACTTAAAGATTCAGTAGCTATATACAATCAAAAATGACAAATTAACAAAGTAGAAAATATAATTTACTCAAGGAAAAAAGACTGTAAGACACAAAGGGTGAAAACTGAGTAATTACCAGGTTTTTCAGGAGTTCGCATCCTAATCCTCCTGCTCCAATAACCAGCACTTTACATGTGTTCAACAAAAAATCAAGAGCCTGTGGAAAATATAAAACAAAATATTAATACAGTAAATATGAAAAAGCACAATTTGTCCTTTACTTCATGACCCTTATAAATAAGTTACTGCACATTTTCAGTGCCTAATAAAAGTTTCACATAAAACAACTTCTATCAATGAAACAGTTTGTGTTTGCAGGGCTAATCACGTATCAGACTTTAAACATTTTGTTGAGTTCACACAACTTCTATACCCCAGCTTACAGAAAAGCAGGACCTTTGATTTATCATTATTCTCTTCACATTAATTTGAAAAAAGCAAGTTCCACCTTTATTATTCCATTTAAGGAGATGATATTCTCTTCCTCCAAACATTTTACTGAAATAAAATATCCCTCTGCCTCTGGGAGTTCCCCAGCATAAAGACGACACTGGAGCCCATGACAGGGAGATGGAAGATATCACGCTGGGCCCTGACAACAAGGTGGTCATGGCAGGATGGGACTTCCAGTGCCGTGTGTGGCAGCAGGACCAGCTGGTGATGGGGCTGTGCTGGAACGAGAACCTGCCCGGCATCCCTGACAAGTCTTACCGCTACCAGGCCTGCTGGTCTGGGGGAGTGGAGGACAATGCTGGGCCACTGCCGCTCTACACTGTTGAGGTGTCCCACAAGCAGGAGCGCTGCCCCCCACCCTGCTACCTGACCAAGTGGGATGGGAAGAGCTTCCTGCCACTGCTCACCCGGCCCTATGGCACTGAGGTCATCTGCCTCTGCATAAGTGGCTCAGGTACCTTCCTGGGACCAGGCACAGTGACAGGCTCTGTTGCCATCCACATCACCTTCTCACCACAGAGGCTGTACTATGCGAAGGAGGCCCATTGCATTGCGGTGACAGACGCGGGTTTTGTCCCTGAGAGCCAGCACGGATGGGAGATGCTGGCAGGGAACGAGGGTGCCCTGCTCAGCATGGCTGTTGACAGCCGCTGCAAGCTGCACCTTCTGCCCAGCCGACACTCCCTGTCTGGCTGCTGCTGCTGCTGCTGTGTGCCACGCTCATCGTAGCTGCCATCCTACTGCTGCAACTCGCCTTCCTGGGCTTCCTGTAGACCCCCAGCCCGGGATGGGACCCTGGGGATGGGCAGACTCTGCCGGGCTGGGCCCACCCCCTGCAGGCTGTGAAGAGGATGAGGGACTGGGGTATGAACAGGGGAGCACAGGATGGCGCTGGCAGCCATGTGGGGCAGACACCAGCAAAGAGGGGTCCCCCTGCCCCACTGCTGCTATGAAAACTGGAGGAAAAAAAAATGTATTTTTGGGGGGCTTTTTTTCTTTTTGTTGTCCATGGCAGGGGGGTTGGAACTTGATGATCTTAAGTTCCTTCCCAACCCCAATTATTCTATTCTGTGGTTATATATAACACAAAATAAACAAACAACATTGCCGGCTCAAAGAATTGATTTTTTAACTGTATAACTGCTTTCAGTGGATTGTTCTACTAGACCCCAGTGTCAAACTAGTCAATAATGGAACAGTATATTAAAAAGGCTAATAGTAAAATACATTCAACCGTAAGCTCTGAATCAAAATGTACCAAGAAAAGAAAGCAGAAGAAATATATTAAACAGCCTAGATTTTGCTTTTCCCTACTAAACATCTTTCCCAATTCTTTAAGTATTCATATTAACCTTAATTCCTCCTTTAAGTACAAGAAATTCCTTACTGTATCTAATTACTTAAAAACAGAGAGAGAAATGCTGCTATTTCTCATGTGAAACTTAAAAGACAGAGCATAATTCATATGCTGTTATACATTTTTATATACGATGACAGCAAGCTTGCAGTTGACAGTGTACAACTCAGAAACACAAGCTTATGAAAAGAATACAAGTTCTTCTAGAACCCTAATGTTCAACTGATTAAACACAAGCTTTTCATGCACTTCTAGTATTCATACACTGCTGGTGATCAATTAATGAAACTTTACATCAGCCTGCAACACACACTACAGATTTATTTAAAGTAAGTGTTTCTCACTTGAGTGCCTGGCTCGAAATCAGGATGTGTGAATGGTCCAGATCGCTCGAGAAACTTCCTTACATGGTTCCAGCGACCTTCCCAGTCTCCAGTGTCCCCACACCCACCATCAACAGCCATTCTGCACAGAACACAGTAAATTCAGCTGCAAAATCATAGAGAAAAAGCCACGCCTCCAAAACGTTTTATTTCTTTATATAGCTTACAAATACCTACATTATTGACCATTCATACAAATGCATCTGCATATTCCTTAAGCGCATAAGTTATGCACATGAACATTTGCATGAGTGGATTTTATTTGTAGAACTAGAAAGCAACAATACAAATCTGCATAGAGGGGAAAACCACAGGCATTTCAATAAACCCCACTGATTCTGCTTTTACTAGTAAAAGTTGACCTGAAGTGAAAAAAGGGTCTAGCCATTTTCCTTTAATTTCCCTTGTATTTAAAGAGGACACAGAAAAAGAGGTCATCCCTTTAGATTTCGAGGGTATCAAGTCCTGTTTCCTTTTTCTGACAGATTTTTGAAGTTCATAAATCATATTTAGAATTATCAGTGTGTAACTAGATTTGTGAGGCATTGAATAATAACAGTAAAATGCTCCAACACTGGCCTCTGAGTCTTCACAGTTAATTTAAATGAGTGTTACCAAAGTAAGAATCTACCCTTTTTTCTGCTTTTGCAGGTCACTTTTAGCAGTACATAAATTTAAACTCTTCAGAGACTTACTGGAATAGTTCAACATCAGCTCTCATAAGCAACTTTCCAACATAGGATCAGCACCTACACAGAACAAGCCCTTTCTTAAAGGAGCACACTTCCCATTTTAAATAGGAGCACCACTCAATGTGTATGTACAATTACGTTCTATGTTAATAAAAAACTAAGCTTGTTACAAAAGAGCTTATGAAGTATGAAAGGTTGTGTCATCACTGATAAGGTGCATTATTTGCTTCCTCCTCTGAAGTAACAGGAAGAACACTCGGATCAATAACTGTTGAGTAATGTTTAGAATTTATTATTACTTCCTGGTGACTTATTTCAGAAGGAAAATGTAGTAAAAACATGTAGACAATGAGTGCCTTTATCCTCACAGAATTCAGAAGATGGACAACCCAGTATGTCCAGAGTAACTTTAATTTACAGGCAGTTTGTTTTGCAAGAATTTCAGTAACAGGGAAAACTTCACTAAACTGCAGGAATAAATACATCATAATTCGCTTGTGTTTTGACTGCAGACTGAACTCATTCCTCATTAACTGCTGGCTTCAGGTAAGCTACTGAATTAACAGTTGAAGATCTAAAACATTTATCTCAGTTCATAAAGGTCTTTTGACCTCTGACTTGCACTTCTGAATCTTCCCCAGTTTCCACAATAATGTGAAAATACACATATTTCACATCATGGGAGAGAGTGTGAATAAATACAGCACTCCCTCTGCTGAACCCTGGGCTCATCTGTTTGCAGGATACATTAAGCACTGTCTTATACAAATAAAATGGGCCAATACACATCACAATTACTTCTATGGATTATATTATAATTCTTAACTTTTCTGGAAACAAGTGCAGAAGCAGTGCTTGGTGACATTAACTTTTTTTTATATAGTCCATATAAACACCTATTAAGCAGTAGTACTCCCTTTAGATGTGCTTTTCCTTTATAAGTGATAAAACGGTAAGCTCTAGCTTCATTTTTGTGATTATACTACAGTTTGCTTTTTTACAAGGTTGGACATTGTGGAGATCCGAAAAACATCAGTAACTCCACCTGAGATTTTATGTTTAACTTCAGAGACGGGTTTCTAAAACGTTTATGTTGGTGTTGTTACAGCGTTAGCAGGTATCTGTTATGAGAGCTTAACAAAATTCCTGTTTATTTCATTGAATTACTTTAATTTGACAATTTGTTTAATATATCAGAGCAGGACAGTGCTTATGTTGCTTTAGGCCCAGACTTTCCCTTCTCATCTTCAAAGCTCCACGTGTATGAGGGACTTGGCATGCACCCCTCCCCATCCAACATGCACAGGGATTTTTGTGACCCTCACCCCAACACACGCATGCACTGCCTGTGAGTCCACCGCTCAAACAGGCAAGTCTGCTTGGTGATCTCTGGGAAGAGGGACACAAGCAGATGGAACGGAACAGTTAAGGGATGGAAGCAGATGAGGTTAAAGACTACTGAGCATTAGTTTTCAAGGCTGTTAAGACAGATGCACGGAATTTAGGGTTTTAATAAGCAGAGGCAACAGTTCCATAGCCTGAACTTTTAATTTTCAGCCAAAATTTAGTCACCTGCTTCTAGCCTAGAGGTCCTCCCCAGGTCCCTGACAGGCAATGCAGCTCTTCCCACTCCTGTCACAAAGCTCTCCAGCACACCAGCCTTTACTCATGCCAAGCTCCAAGCCCGCGATTCCCATCCCCACTCCGGGTGAGCCCCTTGGTCCTCTCCCCAGGGAGATTACTCTTCCCCAGTCCTTGCTATTCAAGCGCCCTTTCGCGTCCCCCCTCCTCATTTTGGCCCCTCTAACACCTCCAGCTCCCTTCACCGCGGGGCGCCGGGCCGCTCACGCACGGTCACCGCAGGCAGCGCCTCTCCATCGGGCTCCACAACTAACCCGCAGCCTCCTCCCAGCCCATACCTCTCCTGCGGGGCTGCGGCTCACCCTGACCTACCAGCCACCCCTCAGCAAGCGCTGCCTGCCCCTGCCCCGGGCCGGGAGCCCGCTCACCCGCAGCCCCGCACTAACCCATCCGCCAGCAGCTCCTCTAGCCTCCTTCTTTTCTTCTCCCTAAAAGAGAGAGAATAAAAGAAGGGTCAGTATCGCGCTACAGAGACCGGGGAGGAGAGAGAGGGGACCCCGGAGCCCACCCGTCCCCGGGAAGCGGGGAAAGGGCCGGCCAAGCACACACATACAGGGCACTTACGGTTCTTCGCTATCCGCCATATTTCCCTCTGCTTCCCACCTTGCTCCGCGGCTCCCCAATGGGCGGTGCTTCCCCAGCGCGCCGCCGCGGTTGCAGGCCTAGAGAGTCGGAGAGGGGGACAGAGCGCCCTGAGCGCCATGGCAACCAGGCGGGGTACCGCTGGGCCCGGAGGTACAGACCGGGCAGCCGAAGCCACACCTGCCTCACGCCGCCACTTCCCTCCCTCTCTCCGGCCCCAAGCGCCTGGCCCCGGGTCCCCAAGGCTCTCCCGACGCCCATATCCCCGACGCTTCCCAGGAGCTCGGGACGGCTTCCCCAGGGACAAAGCGTGTGTGGTTTTCGCTGTGCTTTAAAGCCCACGGGAAGACCGGAGACCGAACGTGGCCTCTGCCTGGCCGGGTGACTCCTGCACCCGAGCTGCGTTATCAAATAGCTTTCTCGTCACAGCTCTCCCCGGGCAGAGTCCGGTCCATGGGCTGCATCAACCAGAGCCCACACGCAGAAGCCTGTGGTCCCACAGCTAACCCAAGGAGTGGCCTCCAAGCGCTGGGTGGGAGGCAGATGGGCCAGTGGAGTTTGAAAGCTCAAGGAGCAACTGTTCTACATGGACTGATGGGGTTCAAGCCACTGTGGCTGCTGGCAATGACCCTCCCCTTCAAAGCCAGAAGGTTTAGGGCCCAATCATCCCATCGCAGGACCACCCTGTGATGGCTTGACATCCCCCCAGTGCCTCCTTGGCTGGGTCAGACATTCCATGGCCCCCTCCTCCATGCTCGGCCCACAACAGAGGATGTGAGCTGGATCTGTCACTGAATGTTAAATGTATGTCATATTTTTCTGAGGAAATGGTGTTGGGGTGAGTCTGGAGGTGGTCATGGAGATGCTTCGAGGGCTGAAGCACCTCTGCTATGGTGAGAGAGCACAGGCTAAGAGAGCTGGGCTTCAGCTGTTCAGCCGGAGAAGAGAATGCTCTGGGGAGGCCTTAGAGCAGCTTCCAGTGCCCAAAGGGGCTGACAAGAAAGCTGGAGAGGGGCTTTTGACAAGGGCATGTAGAGAGGGACAAGTAGGAATGGCCTGAAACTGACAGGAGATTTAGATTGTACATTAGAAAAACAAAATCTTCCCTGTGAGGCTGCTGAGGCCCTGGTACAGCGTGCTCAGAGAAGCTGTGGCTGTCCCATCCCTAGCAGTGTTCAAGGCCAGGTTGGACACAGGGG